CAGTGAACAATCTGTACAGAATCACAGTAAAGTCTTCTGGTTTCTCCATTTTTAGAATCAACATAAAGACCTAGTATGTGGGGTGGGGGTGGGTGAAGTGGATGAAGATGGTGAAAAGATACAAACATCCAATTATACAATAAATGTCTTGGGATGCAATGTACAGCATGGTGACTACAGCTAATAATACTGTATTGTGTATTTGAAAGGTGCTAAGAGAGTAGATCTTAAAAGTTCTTATTACAAGAGAAAACACCGTAACTGTGTGTGGTGATGGATGTTCACTAGACTTATTGTAGTGATCATTTCATAATTTATACAAATATCGAATCTTTACTTTGTACACCTGAAACTAATACATCATACGTCAATTATATCTCAATTAAAAAATATAAACAATGAGGACCTACTGTATAGCACAGGGAACGAGATTCAATATCTTATATAAGCCTTAATGGATAAGAATCTGAAAAAGATTATATACATAATAACTGAATTATATATGTGCTGTACACCTGAAACTAACACATTGTAAATCAACTATACTTCCATTTTTTAAAAAAGAAAAAATATGCATGTCTTAAATGAGAATTATATTAGAAATTTACTTGAAGCTTGTCCCTCCTTTATTGAGGTTAAAAATATATCTGATCATAAATAAATAAATACCATAATGAGATACTACTACATATCACTAGAATAGTTAAAATTAAAAAAAAATCTGTCAGTACCAAATATTGGCAAGGACAAAGAGAAACTCTCCTTACATTGCTGGTGGGAATGTAAAATGCTACAGCTGCCTTGGAAAACAGACACGCAGTTTCTTAAAAAGGTAAACATACATTTTTCATCTACCTGTCAAATCCATTCCTAGCTATCGACTGAAGAGAAATGGAAACATACGTCCACATAAGACCTGCATATAAATGTACACAGCAACATAATTCATTGTTCTCAGTCAAGAACTGGAAGCAAATACCCAGTTAAAAAATAAATATAGGGGCTTCCCTGGTGGCACAGTGGTTGAGAGTCCGCCTGCCGATGCAGGGGACACGGGTTCGTGCCCCGGTCCGGGAAGATCCCACAGGCCGCGGAGCGGCTGGGCCTGTGAGCCATGGCCGTTGAGCCTGTGCGTCGGGATCCTGTGCTCCGCCACGGGAGAGGCCACAAGAGGGAGAGGCCCGCGTACCGCAAAAAAAAAAAATAAAAAAAACTATTAAAAAAATAATAAAATAAAAATAAATATCCAGGTAAAAAAATAAAAATAAAAAGGACCACTATGAAAATGTGATGATTAAAGAGTGAGACATAAACAGACCTGAGTGAGGATTACAGACGTGTAAACATCAACCATCTCCATCATGTAGAAGATGAGGTTGACCCAAGTAGGAACATTGACGGTGTAGGGA